CTTATGAGTCTCTTCACCTTCTGGGATACCAATTATCTGGATGTTTGGACATTTGATGGCATCTAGTATTTCTTGTATATTATTCTCATTTTTGGGGGCAATTTCCTCAGTCTTCATGGTGGATTTTTCTAGGTCATTGATTCTGTCTTCTACACCAGAGATTCAATTTTTGGTAGGATCTAATCTGCTTTTAATACTTTCAAGGGAGGTTTTGATTTTCTGTATTATAGCCTTCATGACTTCCTGTATTATAGCCTTCACCTCTAACAGGTCCATTTGATTGTTTTTTAGAGTGTGTATTTCCTCTTTTAGATCTTGCAAGAATTTCTTCATCTCCTAGAACTTGTCAGCTCTTTTCTCCTGTCTCTTCTGCAGTTCATTGTCTCTCTTCCATCTCTATTAGCTTTGTCACTGTGAATAGTCTAAATTCTTTATTTGATATTTTCATGAGTTTCATTGAATTTCTGAGGATGAAGAGGTGTTATTCTTTTCCCTTGGAGGAGAGGTATTGTCTTGCTTTCCCATATTTCTTGTGATACTGTGGTGCTTTCTAGTCATCTGATGGATGGTGCAGTTCTTCCTGATTCTTTTTTTTTTTTTTTTTTGCTATAGGGCACGTGGGCTCGCCAGAAAGACAGAGAGAGATAGAGAGACAGAAAGCGAGAAATCACCTCCCAGGGGGGATGGCCATGCCTCAATCCCTTCTCCATTCTCCTCTCAGGGTCTTGGGCATGCACACACACTAACCCAGCATGAGTTTAAGCCACAAAGTCCAGAACTCAACTGCGGTCGACTACGTGGAAGTCCAGCGACATAGCCATAACGCCAACTGCTGGTCCCTTCCTGATTCTTGAAGTTCAATCTGAGCGTTCAGAGGCGAGCAGAAGGAGGTGATCTGCAATCTTTCTTCTGTTCCATTTTCACTCTTTATGCATCAGATTCAGGGTAAAGAGAGAAATATTCTGACCCTAACCATATTCAGATGATTGGAAACTGTTCACTTGGACCTGTCTAGACACTTAGTGCATAGAGGCTGATCAGAAAATGAATAAAGATAAAGAAAAAAGGAAAAGAATTAAGGAGAGGAAAGAAGAAGAAAAAAGAAAATGAAAAAAGAGAAAAAGAGGATAAAAAAACCCCTAAGATTGTCATTTTAAAAAGCAAATAATGAAAACCACGTAGTGTGCATGCACCCTGTGCAAAAGCAATATTTCACAGCTTAAGTACAGTATCCATATCAGGATAGGCCTGGCTTTGCTGGTCCCTTTCCTAAATGAAGTGAGGAAAGGCACCAATTAACACAATAAAGGATAGGCTTGAGAGCCCAGAGAATACTTTAGCTTAAAAAATATTAAAAGTCACAGGGAGATACAGTGAGACAGAGAGAGACAGACAGAAATGGCAAGAAAGTGACACAGAGCTATCTCTACCCACTAGAAATGAGTCTGGACGGGGGAAGTCTCAGCAGAAAATCTTTATTTTGTGGTCAAGGAAACCAATGTTTCACAGCTGAAGTACGGTATCCATATTAGGATAGCTTCAGAGTGAACTTTTTCCAAAATGTGCACTCTGTCACCCACCTCTGGATGAACAAGAGTGGTTGTGTGCCCTTAAATCTAAGATCCAGCAGTTTTAAGATATACTATTATTTTATGTCCTAGTAAGAAAGAAAGATTAAAAAAACCTGTTACCAATTATAAAACTGAATAGGTTATTACTTAGAACTTTCTCACACACTATCTATCTGTTGTTCTTCTGTGCTGTCTCCCTTGTACATTTTTTGAAGGACTTCTGTGCTCTAATCGTAAAAGCCTGTAACATACATTCTGCAAGTTCTGAACAGGAACTTTCTTAACCTTTTCAGAAGGTTTTCAGGTAACCACAAGTAACACATTTTAAAAGGCAATTAAATGCCACCTGGGTAGTATAGTCTATATTATTTCCACATTATTAATTATCTTTAATGCCACAGGAGCCTGGGATTTCACTGCTGGGAAGTTCGAGGCCAGTTATGAGCACTGAACTCACTGGTTCCACTCTCCAAAAGACCACGATGAGGGTGGAGACTAGCTCAGCTGCCATGTGAACAGCAGTCCTTTATACTTCACCCACCCAGTTTAGTTTGAAGAACCCTTTCTAAGGCATGAACCTTATATTTGAAATAAGAGCAAAGATTAGAATTGAAATTAGTTTCTTTTGAGTATGCTTCATTTACTGTTTTTTGTTTCTTTCATAAAAGACTTCATCATGAAAAGGAGGAAGCCCAAATTGAAGTGAGTTTAAAACTTCATCTCCAAGAGAGGATTGTGGCTCAGCCCTGAGTTGAGGTAAGAAGGGATGGTACATGTGGACCAGGTTGTGTTGAGCTTCAGGGCCTCCCCGTCTTCTGCCCTTTTCTCTCTGCCTTCCTTTCTCGCTTCCTCTTCTACTTACTTCACTTCCAAAACTTATTTTTGCTCTTCATCTCCTAGAGACTCAGTATACTAAGGGAACTGTCTAAAGTGTTCAACTTTTCTAAATTTTAAGACGGGACATGTGAATTGATATGAGCGTCTGAGCTGAGATGGGCACAGTGTAAGGAATTGTGACCCCTGCCTTCCTGGGCTTTGAAACTGTGGCTTCCCAAGGGTCTCAGTGCAGACTTCACCCTCTCTCTGCCTCACCCAATGCCTTCAGGCCTACACTGTTCAAGAAGGGAGGAAACAGGAAGACAAGGGAATGGCTCTTTCTATATTCTTCTGCTCCCTTTCTCTTTTCTCTGTCCATCATCTGGACCTCTGTGGACTTCTCTCACCTTGCCAACTCACACTCTCATCCTTCCAAGCACCCAAGGCAAAACTGAGCACTGGGCAACAGCATGAGCTCCTATGAGCTCAACAGTCAGGCCATGAGGGGCTGAGTCCTGTTTTAGGGATTTATAAGTCCTGTGGCATTTGATAAATCACTATTCCTCTCTAAGCTTCAGTCACACTCTAAAATGTGTGAGTGTGTGTGTTTGTTTGTTTTTGTTTTGTCTGAGGGTACAAGCACTTACCAGATAGAGACACGCAGAGAGAGGGAGAGAAAGAGAGAGAAGGAAAGTGAGGAAATCATCCCCCAGGGTGGATGGCCATGCCACATTACCTTATCTTCTTGGGATTTGGGGCATACATGCCCACATATCCAGCAAGTTTTTTCAGCTGCCAGGTCTGGAACTTGACCCATACAGTAGGCCACGTGGGATCCAGCTGCCTTAACCACCACACTGGCTGGCCCTAAAATGCATTTCTTTTTTTTTTAGGTTTTTTAGGATTTTACCATAGGGCACACACCCTTGCTGGAGATAGAGAAAAAGTGAGAAATCACTCCCTGGGGGATGACCACCCTTCTCAATTCTTCTCTTGGGTTTTGGGCACACATACACACACACACACATACACACACACACACACGCATGTGTCTGGTGTTATTTTCAAGCCACCAGGGGTCCAGGACTCAAACCACCGTTGGCCATGTGGTAGTCTAGCACCTTAACCACCAGGCCACCTGCTGGTCCCAAAATGCATATCTGTAGTGGACTAGCAGGTGGTATGGTGGTTAAGGGCGCTGGACTCCCACATGGCTGACCTTGGTTCGAGTCCCGGGCCTGGCGACTTGCTCTCTCACTGTTCATCTCTCTCTCTCTCCCGCTCACTCTCTCTCTCTCTCTGAGCAAATTAAAATAAATAAAGTTAAATAAAAAATTCTTTAAAAAATGCATATCTGTAGTGCTCCTGCACAATGTTATCAACATTAAATGAGGCAGTGCATGTAAATACTTTATTGCCTGCTATTTCACACTTAAATACATTTTATTATTTCCTATTCTCTGTTTTGGGTTTTTGTTTTCTCCCTCCTTTTTATTCCTGAATAGTTTTTGTTTGTCTCATTCTTGTTTACTTTTTTTTTAAGAGAGATTTTTGCTATAAGGGCACACATGCTTGCTGGAAAGACAGAGAGAGACAGAGAGACAGAAAGCAAGAAATCACACACCCCCAGGGGGGAATGGTGTTTATAGAGCCTGCTACTTGCCAATTAAGTACCTTTCTTTTACTGGTATACAGTTTGTGAAGACAGAAGGGAAATATTTTTCCCCAGATTATTTTTTTTGTAGTAAAATACACATAACATGAAATTTGCAATCTTAACCATTTTTAAGTGTACAACTCAGTAATATTAAACATATTCACAATGTGGCTGCAACCGTCACTACCACCCACCTCCAGGATTCTTTACATCTTGAGAGCTGAAACCCTACCTAGCCAACTCTAACTTCCCACTTCCACTTTCTGTGCAGCACAGTCGGCGTCCTGCTCCGTGTCTCTAAATGGGACTGCTCTAGACGGCTCATAGAAGGGGACTCATCAGTATTGGTCTTTTCGTGACTGGATCATTCAGTACAATGTCCTTCAGGTTCATCCGCGATGAAGTGTATTGCAAAGTATCTTTCCTTTCTTTTTCTTTTCTTTTTTTCTTTTTTCTTTTTTTCTTTGTTTTTTACATAAGTTAATCCATTCCAAAAGACATTCCAAATGTCTATGGAGTTTCCACTGGTCTTTTAGTTCCTCCAGTCTTCTGATGGCAGACTTAACTGTGACAGCCGAGGTGGTGCAGGTCCAGGCACCATCGGCTACTGTTTTCATGCAGGAACTACAGTGCCAGATCCCCACAGCCCGTCTCTTCATCTTAGCCTTGCCACAGAAGGAGCAGGTGTACTTGGTGTGCTGGCTGATTTCAATTTTCTTCACCATTTTTCGTAGGGAGGCTCCATAGCTGGTCCCATATTTACCAACGATGCTGACCTTCTTGGTGCATTTAACCATATCGCTGCCTGCCAACTAGGTCCCAGCCCAGAGAGCTATTTTTTTTTTTTTAAGGAGATTTTACTATAGGTCATGTGCTCAATGGAGATACAGGGAGACACAAAGCAATAAATCACCTCCCAGGGGGATGGCCATGCTGTAATCCTTTCTCCTCCATTCTCCTCTCAGAATTTTAGAGATGCAGGCACATGTGCCTGGCATGAGTTTTAAGCCACCAGTCCAAGATCTAAACCACAGTCAACTACATGGGCGTCTAGCAACATAATTGTTATGCCATCTGCTGGTCTCAGCAGAATTTCCTTTTTTTTTTTTAAGGCTGAATCATAATAGACCACTTTTTGCTTATCCATCTGTCTATGGACACTTGGGTTGCTTTTTTTCAGCTATTATAAATAGTGCTACTATGAACATGTATGCACAAACATCTGTTCAAGACTATGCTCCCAATTCTCTTGAGTGTATACCCTGAAGTGGAATTTCTGGATCATATGGTAGTTGTGTTGAATTTTTAAAAAAATGTTTTGAGAAATTTTTGCTATAGAATGTATGCACTTACCAGAGAGACAGAGAGAGACAGAAAGACAGAAAATGAAAAATTGCCCACTGGGAGGATGGCCACAATGCAATCTTTTCTCTTCCATTCTCTTCTCGGGCATGGATGCATATGCACCTCACATGAGTTTCAAGCCACTGGATCTGGGACTCAAACCATGCTTGACCATGAGGGAGTTCAGCACCTTAACCACTATGCCACCTGCTGGCCCCTTATGTTTAATTTTTACAAGTTTCTTTCCTCCAGGAGCAAGAGAGACAGAACTCCTAACTGGGTCTCGATGTCACAACCCATCCCCAGCATCTGCCAGTCCTGATCCTAAGTACCCTAAGTACCGGTGGAGGGAAGTCTCCAGATGTGAACACAGAACTTTCCCATGTGTGATAGCCTCACAGACCATCGTATTTTACCACTGCATCATCATCCCACCCCTATATGTTTAATTTTTTGAGGAACCACAATATTGGTTTCCACAACAGCTGCACCACTTTCTGTTCCCACCAACAGTGCCCAAGGGTTCAAATTTCTCTGCATTCCTGTCAACAAGGTTATTTTCTGTTTTTTTGATAGCCATCCTAATGTGCATCAGGTGATATCTCATTGTGGTTTTAATTTGCATTTCCCTAATAATTAGTGATATTAAGCATCTTTTCACATCTTATCTTCTTTGAAGAAACAGGGACCAGCAGATAGCATAATGGTTATGTTGCTGGACTCCCACATAGTCAACCACAGTTCGAGTCTCAGACCCAGCGGCTTCCAATTCATGCCAGATGCATGTGAATGTGCATGTGCCCAAAATCCCAAGAAGAGATTGGAAGAGAAGAGATTGTGGCATGGCCATCTGCCCAGAAGGGATCGGGGGGATGGGTGATTTTGCGCTTTCTGTCTCTCTGTCTCTCTTTGTCTCTCTGGCCAGTGCATTTGCCCTATAGCAAAAATGTCCTACAAAAGAGAGAGAGAGAGAGAGAGAGAGAGAGAGAGAAAGGAAGGAAGGAAGGAAGGAAGGAAGGAAGGAAGGAAGGAAGGAAGGGAGGGAGGAAGGAAGGAAGGGAGGGAGGAAGGGAGGGGAGAGAGAGAGAGAAAGAAAGGAAGGAAGGAAAGGAGAAAAGAAAAAAAAGAAAAGGGAAAGAAAAGATGAGAAGGAAAGAAAAAGGAAAAGAAAACAGCAAAGCAAGGAAAAGAAAGAGAAGAAAAGAAGAGAAGAGAAAGGAAGGAAAGGAAAGGAAAGGAAAGGAAAGGAAAGAAGGGAAGGGAAGGGAAGGGAAGGGAAGGGAAGGGAAGGAAAAAAGAGCTATCCAAGGCTGGTCCTATAGTGCAGTGGTTAAGGGAAACACATCAAGAGCCAGATCTCAAATTCTCGCATGGCTAACTGTGGTTCAAATCTTGGCCCCAGAGGCTTGAAAAACACATCAGGCACATGTGCATGCCCAAAATCCTGACAAGATGGTGAAATTGGGGAAAAAGAATTGCAGTGACTAAGCCCCATTGGGGAGTGCTTTCTCTCTCTCTCTCTCTCTCTCTCTCTCTCTTTCTCTCTCTCTTGTTTGCTCTCATGCATACACATGCCTTCTGGCATTAAAAAAAAAAAAAAAAAAACTCAAGTGGTAGTGCCAGCACGTGGCATGGTATATAAGGCATTGGACTCCCACGTGGCCAACTGTGACTCAAGTCCTGGACCTAGAGGCTTGAAAATCATGCCAGACCCATGTGCATGCATGCCCAAAACCCCAGGAGGGAAACAAAGAAGGGACTCCAGCATGGCCATCCCCTGTAGGGGTTGATTTCTCACTTTCCCTCTCACTGTCTCTCTATCTCTGTACAGCAAGTACATGCACCCTATGGCAAATAAATAAATAAATAAATAAAAATAAATCTCGAGTGGGAAGGATGATCCTTTGAATGAATAAACAGAACTACGGCTAGGACCTTGTTAACTTCCTAGAATTGTCTTTTCTGAGAGTTGAAAGGTGAAATCCAATAACAGAGTCATTTTTGTCTAATGAAGCAGTTTCCAGAGAGTGATAGAGTCAGCTGGAGTAGGGAGCAGCTGGTGAACTGTCATTGATTAGGTAGATATCCACTACTTACTTCTAGGTGAATGGTCTAGAAGTGTTCTCGTTTAGTATAGTTGTAATACCTTACTTACAAAAAAGGGAATTGGGGACCCTGCATGGTACTGGTATAATTCACAATAGAGAACATAATGGTATGGAGGAGGGACAGCATTTAGAGAGGCCTTTCCTAACCACCCTAATCACTGCCAGCCCCACGCTCCCATCATTTCTTATTACGTGTATCTGTTTTAGAGTCTTTATAGTCTCTTTTTTTTTTTTTTTTTTGCTTGCTTGCTTGTTTACTATCTATCTCCCATAGAGTGAAGTTGATGAAGGGCATGGGGTCTTATCAGTCCTGCATCCCTATGTAGATGTACCTGCAATGCCCAGTTATCACAGATGTTGATAAAATTTGCTGGATTAATAAACAAATGAAGCCACTTAATTATAATAATAAATTCTCTCTGCACCATTAATTATATTTCCATTCCCTCAATTTCTGATGTTTGTGTGTAGCACAATGAAGAAGAACAGTCGGAAGTCTACCACAAGGAACAATGGGCAAGGTGCCCTCTGCATCCCGTACTCCCACAACCCAGGAGAGCTCCAAAACATGCTGGATGGAGGAGAGTATGCCCCTTTCGTATCTCCTCCCGTGCTGGAGAGCAATTTTATCCAGGTAAGTAAGACTCCAACCCTGGATTAAGTTCCATTCATTTTAGTCATTCATTTCCTCAAAGGCAACTGAAAAGGCTGGAGGGGAATTGTTTTGAATGTGGCAAGGAAATGTGTGACACCATCAGTGAGAGCAGTTTTGGAATCTTAAACAATCTGAAATAATCACAATGGTAGAAAGACATTAATTTCAAATGGTCCCAGCAAACTCTTACAAAGAATTTTTTTATGAGAAAAAAGGAGGGATATTTTCTTTCTTCCTTTTTAAAGAATTATTTTATTCCACTTATTTGTTTTAATTTGACCAGAGAGGGACCCAGAAAGAGAAGAAAAGTGAGAAAGCAAGTCTCCAGGTCCGGGACTCAAACCACAGTCAACATGTGGGAGTCTAGCACCCTTAAGCACCATGCCACCTGCCAGTCTGAGAGGGATATTTTCAACAATGCCTTGCCATTGAAATCCTCTGCCCCAGATTCCTAGTTAGCTAAGACCACAAGTGCATACCGCCATGCCCAGCCTATTCAGGTTGGATCAGGATCTGACCCAGGCCTCAGCCACATGCAGCAGCACCCCACCATTTGTGCCAACTCAGCCGGCATTCTGTCCTAATTCTACCATAATTGTCGTTCTATCATAATGTTCCCCAAATTACATAAGTGATTTCAGAATATTCTGTCATAGGAAGCATTCAGATAACTTCCTAGACTTAGAAGACATTTTTAAAAATAACATCTATGACACAACTAGGGATTAAAATGGATCTTAGGTTAGTTCTGAAGGTAAAATGGAATTGTCAGATAGTGTCAGAGAGAAAAGTGTCTTTCTGATAAGAATACACCTCTGTTATAACTGATACTGCATTTCAGTGTATCTGGGAGCAGTTAACTTTCCTCTAAACCATCAACATTAAAATATTCAGACAGAGGAATGGGGAAATGAGTTCAGCAGTACTGGCTGTATGCTAAGCTTCATAGAAATGCCACAGCGAAGTCCAAAATTAAGCACCAAGCTGTTACCTCTCACTCCACCACGTTCAAGCAGCTACTTGGCTGATTGCACAGAGAGGTGACTGGGACCGACAGATACAGCTTCCCTAGGTAAGGAGACTTCATCTTCCATGTATGTGTTCCCTGCGCTGATACCTGAGCACAGGTGTGACCTGTTCACCTCCATAGACCACAGGACAAAGTGAAGCCTCCAGAAACACCTACTGTTTCAGTGATGCCCCAGAACACGTGTGACAAGCCATGATATGAGGCACTTTGCCTCTGCATACTTCTTGCTACTGAGGATGTTTTTATTTCATTTTTCACTTGTCTTCCTATGCTCTTTCCAAGTTAGCTTTTGCACACTCATGAAATTACATAGCATTTGCCCTACACTGGGGGAGGTAGTTAGCCCTCTATGTATTCGACATGCCCCTTCTCATATTTGATAAGTCACACCCTTCATTATTACCCTTCAGGGTTACCTCTCCCTGTTAGTATGTCTTTGCCAACAAGTTACCGAGTTTCCTGACTCAACAGGTTGAAATGAAGAAGAAAAGAATGACCTCGAATAGAGTGAGAGAACCCCAGGCCATCAGCTCACTGCCAGGAGGACCCAGGTTCTCTTAGTTTTCTCTTCTTAAGACTTCACATCCCAACAATGGCAGCTGCCTGCAATAGGAGAGAGAGGGGTCATCCTGGTGACTCCTGGAGAGGACTGGGAAGCCCCTCAGTGTCACCAGGAGGCCCTGCCTGTATGTCACTGGCCGCACCTGAATCAAATGCCTCCGCTGAAATCAGTCACTGGCAAGCAGCATATGTCACCATGAAGGTTGAGGTTCATTGAGATTTAGCTCCTGAGAGCCTCGTTGTCCCTGGGGTGGGGGACACTGGACAGAACCAGGATTGTGTTAATCAGGAAGAAAAGGGGCAAGGCCTTGGGTGGTAATCAGTCATGTGGGCTACAACCTATTTCCGAATACACTTGTTTTTAAGTGATGATGATTTTTCATTAAACCAGGTGTCTTACAACTGAGAAACCAGTGTAACTTCTCTGGCTTCCTTCACGTCCCTAGTGACCTATTTTCCAGTCTCTTCTAACAACTGGCAGAGATCTGTGTGTGTGTGTGTGTGTGTGTGTGTGTGTGTGTGTTTTAGCCTCTCGTTGTGTCTCAGTCTTTCTGCCTTAGCCTCCCTAGCTGCTGGGACCATAGGATACACCATGATGCTGTTTTTCAGGGTGGGCCAAGCCTCTCACGTGGCCTCAGCCTAGAGAGCAGCGGTGCCCTACGCATGCTCCTGTGGCTGGGCTGCCGTAGCAATTTTATTGGCCAAGATTCTTGGACTCTGAGGTTTTTACACATCCTGCTCCTCTGCCTGAAACCTCTCCTCTCCGCCAGCCAGTTTGTCTCCCGCAGTGTCCAGGTCTTAGCCAGAGGCCCCTTCCTTGGGGGAGACTGCTTGGTCCTCTGTCTAGGCTGGAACTGGCCGCTTGATAAGGGTTTAAGAAGTGAGTGAGCTATTGTTAAACACTGCCATGATTAAAAATTAAATTATGTAAATGTATAGTAAGATTATATCCAAAACAAAGGCAATAGATATTCAAAACTCATCGTTGTCCTTTTACTCTTATCTATGTTCTTGGGGTTACAGACACAAAAGGTTGACAAAGGTTTATGGAAAGTATCAGTTGGCTCTATGGAATTTTAAAAGGGCTGTAATTTGTAAACTGTGTGCTATTCATCTTTTATATCAGTGACAATTTAGATAAACTCGTGTGTAAATGTACGTATCTTCCATGTCCAGGCTGTCAAACATTTGCCAGCTCCGTCACTGCCTGTATCCCTGCTCTAAGCCAGGCTGTGCTCCCCTGGCACCCTGAACTTGTATTCATCACACTTCTTACTGTAATCATTAGCTGCACACGCAGTTTGTTCAATGTTAGCCCTCCCTGGTAGCCCCCCACAGGTCAGACTGTGCCTGTTGCCTGTGCTAACCTCTCCAAGGATGACCGTGAACAAGTGAAGAAGTGCATGATGGCTCATTCTGCCTTTGTTTGCTGTCCTCCCTCACACTGCTCAGAGAAGCAAGGTCATCAGAGCCATACGTTTTTATCAGAAAACTCTTCTGATTCTCTGCATTCAGGTCAACCGAAGGGGCGAATCCATATACCTCCATAACCGAGCCAACTGGGTGACTGTAGGCATCTGTTCTTCCAGTTCTGCACACAAGACCCCCAATGTGATGCTGCTGGCACATCTGACACCCACCACCCCAAAAGACACAGAACTCCTGTTTACGAGTCTCCTGACATCTTCTACAGAGAAGCTGGTGCTTACCAGGTGAGTTCAAAAAGAAGAGGTTAAGGAGTTCCCACAAATTAGACTCTCCCCCTGTGGAACTACAAATGGAAACCCGACTAACGATCACGTGACAAAGGTTTATGAAAGGTATCAGTTGGCTCTATGGAGCATCTCACTTGTACTCCCTGCTGTAAGTGACAAAGAGCAGCAGCCTTAAAGTCAGGGAAGACAAGTCGTGACAAAGATACTCAAAGGTGTGGTTAATTTGAAAATAAATCAATATATATGGGGCCAGCAGGTGGCATGGTGGTTAAGGCGCTGGACACGCCCACAGGGCCGACCATGGTTCGAGTCCCAGACCTGGTGGCTTGCTTTCTCATTTTCCCTCTCTCTCTGTGTGTCTCTCGCTGGTCAAATTTTAATTAATTAATTAATTAATTAATTAATAAAAATAATTCTTTTTTACAAAAAAAAGAATAAATAAATAAATCTAAGTAACAGGAACTGCAGAGTCATAATAAGCTGCCTCTAGGAACATGCCTTCTCTTCCTCCAACTTCCCAACTCTCCTTCCATCAGAATTAACTCTGGTCTTGTTCTAGCTATAACCTGCTCTGTGATCACTCAACTAAGTGTCAACTTTGTAGGGTTAATTAAAATAGATAGCTTGTCAAGGTAAGTTGCCACTTCTCATGGTATGAATAGTTAGCTGACATTCTGACTTTTCGTACATCAGAATCTTGAGTACACAATTAAGATGAGATGGGCCTCAGGAGCTCCGACCCAGAGCTATCTGGAAGATAAGCATGTTGTCCTGAGTCTCTCTCTGCAAACTACTATAAAATATAACAGGAAAGGCCCTTTACGAGTTTCGGGTTGGGTCTCCAGGTGCCATCACGTTTGCATTTGTTCGCAGGTTTCTCCCCCTGCAGTTTGTGACTCTTTCAGTGCACGATGCCCAGAACATGCGCCTCAAGCTGAAGCTGGTGAGCGGTCGAGCCTACTACCTACAGCTCTGCGCCCCTGCGTACAAACAGGACAACTTATTTTCTCAATGGATGGACCTCATCTCCCTCTTGAATCAGGAGAAGGTCAAAGCTTCCAAAGTGTCCGAGGTCTCAAGCCTGTCAGGCATCACGAATAGCACAGATATCACGGGCTCCACGGACATCATGGACATCACGGCATTCACGGGTGTACAGGCCCCACACATGTACATGTACACAGACCCTGTCCACGTCATGGGCAGCCTGGACTTCTCAGAATTCACAGACATCACTGACATCACGGATGTCACAGATATTCCAGATAATGAGGTCACAGAGGTCCCAGATGTGAGAATCATCACCGAAGTCACAGAGGTCATGGAAGTCCCAGACAACTCTGATGTCTCAAAATTCTCAGAGGTCACAGTGGTTTTTGAAAATGATGACATAATAAGAGCCAAGCAAGAGGAAAAGGTATGTAACACACGAGTCTTTTATTCTTGAATATTCAGGACTAGAGGGATAACCAAGATCATGCTTCTCGGTTAACTGACATTGATTAGCAAAATGCTGTGGATCCTACCCTGAGTAGCCTAATTTTAACAATGAGATCAGTTTCTAAACCCTAGTAAAGGAGTTGTGAAATGTCTCCTGACAAAGCGTGACCATTCTTGCCATCAACTGACCCCACTCTCAGAAAGCTGTGATGGGACAGAAACAATCGAATCAGATTCAGAACACCTGTGTTAGACTTTTTTTTTTTTGAGAGGTTTTTGCTATAGGGTGGGTACGCTTGCCAGAAAGACAAAGAGACAGAGAGACAGAAAGCAAGAAATCACCTCCCGCAGGGGATGGCCATGATGCAATCCCTTCTCCTTCATTCTCCTCTCAGGATCTTGGGCACACACGCACACGCGCCTGGCATGAATTTAAGCCACCAGGTCCAGGACTTGAACTGCGGTCGACTACGTGGAGTCCAGCGACCTAGCTATTACGCTAACCGCTGGTTCCAGACTCTTAACCCTGCATAGTAAGTGATTTTTGCCAAGTCGCCAAACCTACCTAAGCTTCAATTGCCTCACCTCTAAAATGAGAATATTAATATAATGCAAGATTGTTTTGAGACTTAAATATATAGACAGGTTCTCAGTACCTTGAAGATGAGATAAAATTTCAATAGGAAAAGGTAATGGTGGAAATAGAAAACTAAAAGACAGGGCCTGCACCATAATGTAATGGTAAGGGAGCTGGATTCCACATGGCTGACTGTGGTTCAATCCTGGCCCTGGAGGCCTGAAAAATATACCAGGCACACATGTGTAAATGCCCCAAATTCCAACAGGTTGAAGAAATGGAGGAGAAGGAATTTTGGTATGACCACAACCATGCTCTAGTGGGGGGTGCTTTCTCTCTCTCTCTCTCTCTCTCTCTCTCTCTGGCAGACACATGTGCCCTCTGGCAATTAAAAAAAGAAAAAGTGGGGACCAGCAGGTGGCATGATGATTAAGGCACTGGGCACATGGCCGACCATGGTTCAAGTCCTGGACCTGGTGACTTGCTTTCTCTCTCTCTCTCTTACTCTGTGTGTGTGTGTGTGTGTGTGTGTGTGTGTGTGTGTGTGTGTGTATGTGTGTGTGTCTGTCTGTCTCTGGTCAAATTAAAATAAATGAATTGATGAATAAATAAAGTTTAAAAAAAAAGTAAAAAGAAAGAAATGAGTGGCTCTAGAAAAGATCAGGAAGTGGAAAAACACATCTAAGAATAACTAGTTCAATTTGACTGGAGTACAATATATGTGGAGGATATTGGAATATAGTATTGGAAAGTTCCTTGCAAACCTTGAATACCAAATTAAGAAGTGAGTACTTCACTATTTAGTCACTTGGTGACTAGAGGCTTCTATGTAAGGAAATGAAGGGATATGATCTTAAAAAATTAATCTGATGGTAGGATGGATTATACGTAAAGAAATTAGTTTGGTGACCAGTAGTTGGCATAATAGCTATGTTGCTGGACTCTCATGTAGTCGACTGTGGTTCAAGTCCCCAACCTGTTGGCTTAAACTCACACCGGGTGTGGGTGTGGGCGTGCCCAAGATCCCAAGAGGAGAATGGAGGAGAAGGGATTGCAGCATGGCCATGCCTCCTGGGGGTGATTTCATGATTTCTGTCTCTCTGTCTCTCTGTCTTTCTGGCAAGCACACGCACTCTATAGCAAAAACAAAAACAAAAAACAACAACAAAAAAAAACTCTTCAAAAAAAGAAATTAGTTTGAAGACTACTACTCAAAAATCTCCACTAGGTCTATAATATAGAAAATGGAACAGAGCAAAGTTTAACCTCACCAATAATTAAGGGAATGAGAACTTAGGGAAAAAATATAACCCATGTAATTATAAATTAAAGAAAAAAAGACAGTCATTGTTAGTAAAGGTTTGATCAACTAGGAATTTATGAAGATTCATGTTAGGGACAAAAATTGTCACATATTTTCCTGAAATTATTATGAATAAAGAACCTTAAAAATGTTCATCTCCTGGGACAAGCAGATGGAGTCATGGTTATGTTGCTGGCCTCCCACGTAGTTGACTATGGTTCAAGTCCTAGACCCAGAGGCTTCAAACTCACACCAAGCACGTGTGAGTGCATGCCCCAAATCCAAAAGGGAGAGTGGAGGAGAAGGGATTGAAGCATGGCCATCCCTGCTGGGGGGGGGGGGGGTGAGCCATCCCTGCTGGGGGGGAGGGGGATGATTGGGTTTTTTCTCTCTCTCTCTCTCTCTCTCTCTCTCTCTCTCTCTCTCTCTCTCTCTCTCTCTCTCTGTCTCTCCATCAAGTGCATGCACCCTATAGCAAAAATCTCTCTTTAAAAAAAAAAGAAGTTCAGTCCTTTGTCTCAGTGATTGCACTTCTTTGACTCAGTGATTCCGCTGCTAGGAATCGTAGGTAAGGAATTAATCACAAATAGGAACAAGGATTTAGCTACGAAGATATTGATCATACTATATCTATACCACGTCTATAGTAATGAAATAATAAAAGCAATGTAAATGAATTGAAATCCATGAAGGCTGGCAGGTGTCATATTTACCAGGTTCGGAACCTACCATAGTATCAGGCAACATCATAGGAACTCAGTAAATATTTGTTAAATGAATGACTACTCGGAGAACATTAAAATTGTTGAAAAATGTTTGCTAGCTTGGAACAAATGTTCGCAGTAGAAGTTTGAGTAAGAAATAGGGGCAAGCAGGTGGCATGGTAGTAAAGGGTGTTGGATTCCCACATGGCTGAATGCAGTTTGTGTTCCGGGCCTGGCAGCTTCCGTTGTCTCTCTCTCTCTCTCTCTCTCTCTCTCTCTCTCTCTCTCTCTCTCTCTCTCATTCTGTCCCTCTCTGGTCAAATTAAAGTGAATCAATAGGGCTGGCAGGCAGAGTGGTGGTTAAGGGTGCCAGACTCCCACATGGCCGACTGTGATTCGAGTCCTGGACCAGGTGGCTTGCTTTCTCACTTTCTTTCTCTCTCTCTCTCTCTCTATCTCTCTCTGGTCAAGGTAAAATAAAAAAAAAAATAGATGGATAAATAAAACTAAAATAATTCTTTAAAAAATTTTTTTAAAGTTAAATAAAATAATTACTTAAAAGAGAAATAATGAATATAATCTCTATTATGTAAACATATATTTACAGATACACACTCAAATAAAAAAATCTATACTATGAATAGCAATTTACCTTTAGACTGTGGAGTTATAGGCAATTTGTGTCTTATTCACAACTTTCTTAATTCTCTATTTTCTGCAATAAAACTAATTCATTTTTAACAAGGAACATTCAAGTCACTTTACACAATATTTTTTTTTTGAAGAGGTTTTTGCTATAGGGCGCATGCGCTCGCCAGACAGACAGAGAGAGACAGAGAGACAGAAAGCGAGAAATCACCCCCTAGTGGGGATGGCCGCGCTGCAATCTCTTCTCCGTTCTCCTCTTGGGATCTTGGGCACTCACGCACAAGCACCTGGCAACTTTGCACAATTTTTAATGACAAGAAGAAAATGTTTACTACAAAATGTTAAATGAAAAAGGTAAGAGACAGAACTTCAATGTAATCTCAAGGCAGACATACAAAATATGTAAATGGGCAAAATACCACAGGAGTACTTTCTTCTCAGCAGTAGCATCATATGCACAATAATTTTCTACCTTTCACTTTATTTGTTACAGGATTTCCCAGAGTCTATAATAGATATATATATTACTTTTACTTATCACAAAAAAGGTGAAGTTCTATCTTTAGGGAGGATTATTGCATTATTTTCAAAGACCTATAATAGAGGTAATGAACTAGGACAAAGAAGGTGTCCAGCAGAACAATTGAAAGGGGAGGGGGAAGGCATGGAGGGCAATCATGGATGCCAGGGACAATGGAGGAGGAAGATGGGACGTGGCAAAGGGAGGCGGATGGGGAATCAGGGATGGCAAGACAAAGGGCAAGGTATGCAGGATGTAAGAATTGGAAAATTACTTGCTGAGAACATATATGTTGACGTGCTTGATTGAACCAATGCACAGTGTATTTTGGATGGAAAATTCATTGGTGTGTTGTGATGGTGTATAGTGAATTAAGGTAGAAAATAAAAATTATGTATTTGTCAAAAAAAAAAAAAAAGAAGGTGTCCATGTGAGGGATGTCTAAGAGACAGGCTGTCAGGCCCGCTGACCAACTGCTCAGAGGCAGGCAGTGGGCGACTGTGAGAGGTGGTACATTAACAAAAGTCAGGAAATTAGGAGGATGGGAGAGATGCTAAGGTATTAAGTTTCAGGTACATGGGAACCAGCAATTAGCGTAACAGCTATGTTGCTGGACTCCCACGTAGTTGGCCACGGTTCACATCCCAGACCCGGTGGCTTAAAACTCACGCCGGGCGCGTGTGCGTGTGTGCCCAAGATCCCAAGAGGAGACTGGAGGAGAACGGATTACGGTGTGACCATCCCCCCTGGGGGGTGATTTCTCGCTTTCTGTCTCTCGGTCTCTCTCTGTCTGTCTGGCGAGCACATGCACCCTATAGCGAAAACCTCTCCAAAAAAAAAAAAAAGTTTCAGGTACAAATTCTAAGTCTTTTGAAAAACCATCTACTTAGTATTGTTATAATCCCACACACTCTAACAATTATTTAGGTCGCTGGGAAAGTCAAGATGTATTTTTCTGGTTTTCTATGCAAAAATGCATCGTAACCCAATAGATGCTCTTAATTAAGAGCAATCTCCAATTGAGGAGTAGCAGGCAAGGCATTTCTAGAAAACCTTCCTTGTCCCAACAATTCATGAGAAGTAGTGCTGAGAGGTGCACTGATTGTCCTGTGAAGTGACACTGGTGTATGTGACAGTATGAGCTTTTGAATGCGCTGGGTCAGGTTGCTGTGTTGGGCTCTGGTTCTCACAGTGCCTGCCTCCAGTGCCACCCTGGGCCCTTCTCAATGTCCATGCAACACCAAGCCTTGCTTTCTCGTCCTCCTGCCTGTACACTCGGTAACTGTGAATGAAACGGTGGCTGCATTAGTTACTGCTCTATAAAAAGTCTGTTTCTGTGTGATGCCCTTCTCTTACCTGACTTGTTCCTGCTTGTTATTTTCAAAGGGACAAGTGAATAATGTTGTGAAGCCTGGGTGTCTACAAGATTCAAAAACTAAAAATGAGTTCAAAGAATCCTCAAAACATGTCACCATCTCAAACGTAACACTGACTTTCGAAGATGAGAGGTGCTTTCAAACTACCTTGATTCCAGAAGAAAGTGAAGCAAACAAATCTAAAGAGATGAGAGATACGACTTCTGAGGAAAAGACGACTGATTTTACAAACACAGCTCTCAAGGCTGTAGAATCCAGGTATGTGAGGCAGGAAAATGCTGAGGGGGCCCTAAGACATGAAATCCTTTAAGTAAGAATGTACGAGGGGGGGGAATAGCAGGTGGTGTAATGGCTACATTGCTGGACTCCCCCCTGGGAGGTGATTTCTCACTTTCTATCTCTCTGTCTCTCTGATGAGCACCTGCACCCTATAACAAAAATCTCTCTTAAAAAAAAAAAAAAAAAAACGGAGAGAGAGGGAATGTACTGGGCCAGCCTTGTAGCCTTAAGGTCGAGAGAATTGGATCTCACATGGCCAAATGGAGTTTGAATCCCAATCCCAGGGGCTTGAAAAACACACCTCGCATGTGTGTATGTGTGTATGTGTGTGCCCAAAGTCCTGACAGGAAGGAGAAATGAAGGAAAAAGAAGTGCAGTGTGACCACCCCAATTAGGGAGTTCTCTCTCTCTCTCTTTTTCTCCCTCCCTCCTTCCCACTCTTTCTGGTAAGTGTATGCACCCTCTAGCAGTAAAAAAAGGTTTAAAATACAGAAATAAAGTTACAAAAAAGATTCAAACTAATATGCGTTCAAAAGAAACATGGAAAAAACAAAATTCTAGAAAATGTTGATCAAAGATTTATACTCTACCATAAAATTTTTTCATATGGGAAAGGAGTAAATTATTTTAAACCCAACTAAAATAAATTAGATAAAAATGGAATAGTATCACTGCCTCCATTACAGAGGAAAAATAGTTTCTTGTCCACTGAAGCAACAAAATAATTTTCAATAGCAGATTTTGATTCACTCACTCAATAATATTTACTGAGTACTTCCTAGGCACAAGGCACTGGGTATACAGCAGAGAAAGTAACCAGGTCCCTAACTCATGAAATGTCCTAAGGGTGGAGATAGATAATAAACAAATAAAGTCTGGTATCCTAGCTGAAATGTGCTGTGATTAAAACAAGCAAAAAAAGAAAAAAGAAAAGGTGATTTGAGGGGGCAGAGGGATACTTTATAATGTACCCATGGTCAAGGACAGTCTCTCTGAGGAAGGGCCATTTTAATAGAAACCTGAAGTGTGGAGCTCTGAGGGAACAGAGTTCCAAGCTGATTGACTACATAGCAATTACAAATACCTGATATGATATGATTTGTTTTGGCTTTTATTTATTTTCCATTTTTTAATTTATTTTTATTTATTTTACATACTTTCACTGAACATCACTACAGCATACAAAATGTGATTTTCCAGCCAGAATACACTATAAAGTGGCTTAAACTTACAAAACTCCTTAACACTGGAAAACAAAACATAGAGAGTCATACATGTTATCATCAACAAATAATTTTCCATTTCTTGTTTTTTGTATATATATATATATATAAGTTTCTTGTTATATATATACATATACCCCCCTATTTCTCACCCTCTGCCATTTCCCATTCTCTTCCCACCCTGTCTCTGGTTTCTGCAGTTGCTTTCCATTCCTTTATCCTTTCCCACATTGTATTGATTCACAAAATATCTTAATTAATCTAAATACTTTCAATACTAAGTGTAGCTGATATATACATATCTGTGAATAAAAGTTGACTTTAGGCATGAAACTCTGGATAGAATGAATATACTATGAAATAGCACATAGCTAAACTATATAACTTATTATAGTTAACAAATATGTATTTTTAAATACACTTTTTAATTTCAAGAAAGGCAGTTTTAGCTTTAATAAATCAAAATCAAAAAATGTTAAGAGAACTTTGCTTAATACTTACAAGCCAGGAAACAGGTCAAGATTCTGTTTGAATAGTAGGTACATGGACCTATCTACAACTTGAGAAATTACAAAACTCCTTAACACTGGAAAACAAAGCATAGAAGGTCAGTGATGTTTTAGTCAAAAGTCATAAAATTCTATTTCACCAGTTCAAGCTCATGTACTTTATCTTCTGCTGTGGTCTGATCTCTCCGTTTAAATTTGGAAGATAACATTCAACTCTGTACTTTTCCCTACCATTAATCTGGCCATTTTCATAGCTGTTTTAGAACTCTTATTTCTGTGTGTCTCACTTAATTTTCCCAGGATAGCACTCCCTTCAGAACTTGAAGAGCTGGTCTGGTGTTGGTAAATTCTTTCAGGTTTTGTTTATTTGAGAATGTTCTTGTCTTCTCTTCCCATATGAAGGATAATTTTGCCGGGTATAGTATTCTTGGTTGAAATTGTTTTTCACTCAACACTTTGAATATATTTTCCTATTCTTTCCTTGCTCACACTGTTTCTGATGAGAGGTCCACTGTTAGTCTGATGGGATATCCTTTGTAGATAACATGACGTTTCTTTCTTGCCAGTCTGAGTATCTCATCTTTGTCTGTGGTTTTGGTCACTCTGGCTATAATGTGTCTTAAAGAAGATCTTGGGTTGATCCTATTCAGGGTCCTTTGTATTTCTTGGGTCTGGGTCTTTGCCTCTCTAGCTTTGGGAACTTTTCTCCCAGGATTTCATGGAATAGATTGTCAATGCCCTTATTAGTCTCTTCACCTTCTGGGATACCAATTATCTGGATATTTGAACATTTAATGGTATCTAGTATTTCTTGTATATTATTCTCATTTTGGGGGGTCTTTTTTCTCAGTCTTCATGGTGGATTTTACTAGTTCAGTGATCCTATCTTCTACATGTAAGATTCTAATTTCTGTATGATCTAGTCTGCTTTTAATATTTTCAAAGGAGGTTTTGACTTCCTGTGTTACAGCCTTCATCTCCAACAGTTCCATTTGACTCTTTTTTTATGGTGTGTATTTCCTCTTTTAGCTCTCACAAGAAATTCCTCGCCTTCTGGGACTCATCAGCTTTTTTCTTCTGGTATTCATTGTCCCTCTTCTCTTTCATCTCTGTTAGTTTTGTCATTATGAATACTCTAATTTCTTTATCAGATATTTTTCATGATTTCCATTTTACTGTCTGTGGATGAAGAGGAGTTATTCTTTTGCCTTGGGGGGTGAAGTATTTTCTTGGTTTCACATATTTCTGGTGACCCTGTGGTGATTTCTAGTCATCTGATGGGTTATCTGTTTCTTCCTAATTTCTAGAAGATCAATCTGAGCAATCAGAGGCACACAGGAGGATGTGGTCTGCAAACTCTTTGGCGTTGCATTTTTCTCCCTTTGTGATGCAGATTCAGTGGGAGTTGAGCAATATGAGGACCCAAATAGTACTCAGATTTGGCAAGTTTTCATTTAGACTTGTTTAGACCCTCAGTAGGTGGAAGCTGAGTAGCAAAGAGATTAGGTAAAAGAAAAAGGATAAGAAAACAGGGAGGAGAGAAAGAAAAAAGAGAAAAATGGATAAAGCAAACAAAAAATTTATTTATTTGTTAATTATAAAAAGCAAAAAACAAAAACTACATGGAGAGCAAGCGTACCACACAAAATCACCAGATCTCAGCTCTCATGGTGGATTCAGTCTATTTCTGGCCTGCCCTTTTTTTTTTTAACCTAGATGAGAGGGGAAAAGGGGAGGGGATTATTACCAAGATAAAGGAGGATTTCAGAGCCAAGAAAAAACTTTCCCTTAAAAAATGTTCTAAAAAGGGACCAGCAGTTAGCTTAATGGCTATGTCACTGGACTCCCACGTAGTCGACTGCGATTCGCGTCCCAGACCCGGTGGCTTAAAACTCACGCCGGGCACGTGGGCGTGCGTGCCCAAGATCCCGAGAGGAGAATGGAGGAGAAGGGATTGCTACATGGCCATCCCCCCTGGGGGGTGATTTCTTGCTTTCTTTCTCTCTGTTTCTCTCTGTCTGTCTGGCGTGCGCATGCGCCCTATAGCAAAAAAAGAAAAGAAAAACAAATGTTTTAAAAAAAGAAAAATTTTTCAAAAAGAAAAGACAGAGACAGAAAAGCAGAAAGAGATGGAGAGAAGAAGACAGGGGCTCTACCAGGGTAGATTCTTAGCAGAACATCTTCATTGCTCTTATCTCTGAAATCACTAGATCTCAGCTATCATGGCAGACTCAGTCTTCTTCTAACCTGCCTTTTTTTGCCAGGGTAGATTCTCAGCAGAACATTTTCATTACTCTTATCTCTGAAATCACTCGATATGATATGATTTGATTAATATACATACATAAATACATAAGAACAGAATGGGTAAAGAAGAATAATAGAAGAGCCAAGAGTTCTTAAAAAATAAATAAAATAAAATAAAATGAAGCTATCCAATTTAGTAATTTGTCCTAAGTAATAATTGATCAGATCTGGTCACTCTATCTTCCTTCTGTTTTATTTTGTTTACTTATTTTAATGCCAGAGGGCACATGTGCTCTCCAAAGACAGAGGCACACCCACCTGCAATGGGACATGACTACACTGCAATCATTTTTCCTCTATTTCTCCATCCTGTCAGGAGTCTAGGCACACACAAACATATACCCAATGCATTTTAATTTATTTCTTTTTTTTTGTTGTTTTTGTTTAGGCTAGAGATCCGGTGCACTTCATACAGAGAGAGGGAGAAAGCACTCCCTCCAAATGGGGCATGGTTACATGGTCATACCCTCTCCTCCATTCCTCTATCCTGTTGGGATTTTTAGCAATGTGCCTAGAGTATTTTTGGATGCACCAGGGACAGGACTGAAACCAGGTTAGGCCATATGGGATCTGACTCCTTTAACTGCTGAGCTTCAGGGCCAGCCCCATTTTGTTTCATTCTTATGCCTCAAACCTAATGCCACCATCCCTTGTTTAACTTCAGAAACAAAACTCAAATCAAAACCTCACAAGATAAACTTTTTTAAAATTTATTTATTTATTCCATGAGTGAGAGAGATAGAAGTAGAGAGACAGTGCCCTATAACAGAGTCTTGAATCCTCAGTTCATGCCAGCTGGGCCATGGCACATGTGTGCCTGGCATTCTCAGGGAGGTCTCTAGATGGGAACCTGGAATCTTTCTGTGTGTCATCCTCACAGAGCATCACGTTTTAACACAGCACAACCACCTGGCTCCCACAAAGTTAATTGTTTAAATCATTTCAGCTTCCCTATTTGTCCTTTTGTACATAACGAATGCCCTGAGACATTAGATTAACTTTTTTTTTTAAAAAAGGTTTCTGCCATATGCTCACAGGAGACAGATAGAGAGAGGGAAAGTAAGAAATCTCCCCTAGAGCGGATAGCCATGCTGCAATCCCTTCTCCCCTTGAGATTTTGGGCACGCACGTACACATGTCTGGCATGATTTTCAGGCAAACTCACAGAAACAGGACAGAAAACAGGCTATATTAAAAACATGTACTTTCATGTAGAAAAACTCAGAAAAGTATAGTGAATGGATAGAATCTACTATATGATAAAAATGCTACAAACACCATTTAGTTGCCATCAATAATAAATTTAGCTATTTAAAAAAAAAATCTAAATGCTGGCATTGTCCTGAAAAATAACACTTATAATTGCTGAAACTTGGTCACTGAAGAATTTTGACTTGCTTTAATGCTTTACATCCTCACATTTGTATTTCAAATGTACACACAGATGAAAATGCAAAAACTGTCAATACCTGATTGCCTGATTTTTCCCACTCACAATCATATACCTTTTGAGAATGAAATGTTTCCCGTCATAGTGGATTCTTAAGCACACCCTCCACATATGCGGTGAGCTAGCAGAATGTCTTTTAGCATAACCATTACATGTTTCGAATGGATAGCACACAGGTTGGTATCTTCAAAAAGACCAACCAGGAGCCAGTAGGTGGTGTGGTGGGTAAGGCACTGAACTCCCACATGGTTGACCATGGTTTGAGTCCTGGGCCTGGTGGCTTGCTCTCTCACTTTCTCTCTCTCTCTCTCTCTCTCATATCAAATTAAAGAATAATAATGGTAATAAATAAAAGTAAATAAAATAATTATTATTTAAAAAAAAAAAAGACCAATCAGATAAGACAGAGTTGTCTCCTGCAAGGCACCAAGAGCTTTGCTCTGCAAGCCAATACTGACACATTATCAACTATAGTCCCCAGTTCACATTTTATGTTATACAGTTCTGTGGGTTTTGACCATGTGTCCACCATTATATTTACATTCATTTTCCCCCACCCAAAATCCCCTCAGTATTAGACTGGCTCTTGCTTGTTTCTAAAATATTAAAAATTATATGAATAATTTAAATGTTTAGGATGATAAATGTTTTGCAGGTAGCAAGTTTTATTAGTCTCATTATTATGATCACTATTAGAAGTGGTGAGAAATAACAAAATTCACAAAATTTTAAAGATATAGAAGATCAGGGCCAGGAGGTGGTGTGGCGGTTAAGGCACTGGACTCGCACAAGGCCAACTTCAGTTTGAGTCACAGACCTGATGGCTTGCTTTCTCATTTCCTTCTCTCTCTCTTTCTCTCTCTCTAGTAAGCGCACATGCTCTCTAGCAAATAAAATAAAATAACAATAATAATAAATAAATAAATTTAAAAGATATAAAGGATCTTGTAGATGAGCAAATCTCAAATTCCTCAAGGCCCTGCCCCTCCCCTCTCTCAGCTCTGTGTCAGCTATCTGCCAACTCTTCAGAGGAGAAATAAATAGAAGAAGAAAAACAAAATGAACACATTTTGTTTCCAAGCAATCCTCTTAAGCCCAATTTCATCAAGCATGGATTCCTTTTTATTGCCTATTTGCATCATGAACATAATTACTAGTTAGAGTCTAATTTAAGAATGTTAATTATGAATGAACGATGTAATTCTGAGAAAGAATGGAATTCGCTGATGCTTTATCCCAGGCACATTTGTACAATTTAGTCAAGATTGAGAGGTTGACAAATAAGTTCTATGTATTACTTTTCTTCTCCAACATCATAGATTGCAGTACACTTTTTAACTGTGTACTTTGGAGCACTGAAAAAAAAAATTTAAAAATGACCTTGTTGAATATTCTGTCCTCAGATTCACTAGTCTTTAAAATGTAAATTGAGTAATTTAAATCTAGACCAGTGAGAGACCATGGAGACTTAACTCTACTGTCACTTTAGGCCCTTTAAAAGTGAAGGATTTACTTCCTAAAGCATTTATATTCCTCTCCATACCTTGACAGTAGTGCTACCTTGACTCTTGCCTTTGTCTTAAAGAGGATAATGGCAGGATTTTATTTTAATTCACACCTATTTTCTTATGGAACATTTACTTACATGTCTCAGCCTTTTGAAAACTGTCATTAAGCTGGAACTTCATTTAAATCACCAGACTTACTGGGGAAAAGCTATATGAATATCTATTTGCAAAGTCTTCATAAAATTAGTAACTTTAACATTCACGTTCTGCAATGGAAAGGTCCATTGCAGAATGTGAACTGAGTGGGATCAGCAGATGGTAATGATTAAGCTGCTGGATTTCCATGCAGTCAAGTACGATTCAAGTCCAAGACCCGGTGACTTAAAATTCATGCTGGGCACATGTTTGTGTGTGCCCAAAATTTCAAGAGGAGGGGCTGGCAAGTAGTGTGGTAGTTAAGGGTGTTGGACTCCCATGTGGTCAGCCTCGGTTTGAGTCCCAGATCTGGTGGCTTCCTTTCTCACTTTCCATCTCTCTTTCTCTTTTTCTCTCTCACTCTGTCCCTCTCTGGTCAAATTTAAATAAATAAGGATAAATAAAATAATTCTTAAATAAGTATCTCAAGAGGAGAATGGAGGAGAAGGGAATGCACCATAGTCACCCACCCCCTAGGAGAGGGGGGATGATTTCTCACTTTCTGTCTCTCTGGCAAGTGCACACGCCCTATCACAAAAATCTCTCTTAAAAAAAAAACTTGAATTGGTTGTATTTGTCCTTTAAATGGATCATATTTATGCCTTTGTAAATTTACTTGGGAAACTAAAAGTTATTCTTCCCAAACCCTTTGTTTTACTCAAACAACAATAATCCTAATATGTATTGAAAAACATAAGACTTGGTGAAAATAAAGTGACTTAAGTTAATGTTTCAGCATGTCAGTGAGGTTAGAGAATTTTAATTATTGTTACTAATTTTAAAAAATTAGAAATACAGAAAATAAGCTTCTTTATCACCAGACATATCTGAAAGTGAAATAGTCTGAAAAACTGACTGTTAGCCTCCTGTTTTAGTGAATAAACCATAAGACATGTTAAATGTAAGGTGTATCATTTGCCTGCAAGATTTCCAAGTGTTTAAAGCCCAGCAAGACCATGGAGATACTGGTTAAGAAGCTAGCAGAAGGCAGCAACTTCTCACCCCCGGTCTCTATGAGACCCTAAATTCCCACCATAGTCAACCCTATGTACTTAAGCCCTTGAGGAGCTTCTCTCAGTCTCCACCAGAAGAGAAAGGCAGGGAGGCACAGGAGGCCGGAATGCCCGCAGTCCCATGGGGTGAGGAATGCCAGCAGTCCCATGGAGTGACTAGTAATCTATACCATCAAAATAGGGGCAGCAGATAGCATGAAGGTTTAGGTACTGAATCTCACATGGCTGACTGTGAAGTTTGAGTGGCATGAACACCAGGTGTATGTGCATGTGTGCATGCTCAAAAATCCCAAGTGGAGAATGGGAGGAGAAGGGATTGTGGTGTGGCCATCAGCCCTAGGGGGTGATTTCTCGGCCCCCTCCACCCACCCCCTGTCTGTCTCAGTCTGGCGAGCACATGCACCTTATAGCAAAAACAAACAAAAATATGTAGGTTACATATTATTCTATACAATTCACTTTTATAGCTTTTATAGGTTGGATTGCCTGCATGGTACAGGCATGTAGATAATTTTTCTTCACTATGTGTTATCATCAATAATGGCCTAAGCTTGCTAAATAAATTTCATTACTACACGCTAAGCATTTAAAGAATGACCAGTTATCTCAGACCTAGTAACTCTTTTCTAAATATTTGTGGTTACACTGGCAAATTGTTGAAGTGTGCTGTTTATTTTTACAGGAACTTGAGAACCGATTCAAACACTTCAGGTATGGAACAAATTCCACTGTGTGTTTTATTGTGATCCTGGTATCCAGTAGTCGTCTCTGATTCCTGAAATACTAGACTAGTTAAGGGCGGAGGAATCCAACTTTATGATGCATTCCCTTTCCTGACTTTGCTCCATTCTGAATCCCACATTGGAAAAACTCTTCCTCAAAGCCTATCCTCAGAATATTTTCCAAGTGGCAGGCATTTCTTCATTTTCTTCTTCTGCCCCAGCTGAGTTCCTTTCCCAGTTCCCTGGACACGGACCTCCCTAAGGCTAGTTCCGCAGGCAGAATCCAAACTACAGCATAGGGACCTGCAGTCCTTGCCGAGGTGTAAGGGGAAGGGCCCACGACTAAATTTTTGGTAAATCCCAAATCATCTAGCTCCTCTTTTCTTCCTGCTCATATGTTTAGCCTCTGGCTCACTGTCAGGTGATACTATTTAATATGTGAGTTTAGGGAGAAATGTTCCTTTACATATTTTTGTGTCTAAGAATCTTTGTTCTTGTAACCACAAACTTTTGACATGGCAGCTGCCTTCCAGAGACGTCTCCTTTAGTTACTCAGTACCCTGGGAGATGGACTAGACATCAGCCCCAGTTGTACACAATGAAGAACATGATGGAAGGAACATACAGAAACAACTTAAGTGGAGAGGAAAAAAATAGTACTACTTCAAAAAGCAAGCACACTTAAAGGCAATTTTAGTCACACTTATAAAAGTCCTACCCAAAAAAACGCAGATGATTATTGGATAGAGTTTTGCGCACATGGGATTTGTCTCTGGGCCTTTCCACTGGCTTTGGTGTCCCAAAGTACCAGATATACAGGTCACTGAGATGTGGTCTGGCCTATAGTCCAACCTACGGTTTTTAATCCAAGGCCATTGTAGGGGAATGTTTTTGTCGTTTACAAGAAAAAGGCTAAGTGCCTTTTGCATTTTATAGCATTTTTATCAATTTCCACCCCAAACTGAATTTCATAAAGAAACGAAACTAAATTTGTAGTCATTTCAGAGATGTCTGGTACAGGACAAATATTTTTCTTATTTGCCAAAAGAAAGTAAATCTAGTGGCAGCCTGGTTGTTCACTAATGCTGCATCTAATTAGTACATTCTATGCACATTCTGAGATGCTCACTTACTTAGCCATGGAAATTAGGAAGTAATTGGGGCACTGGTACTATTTCCATCCTATGCATGTCTAATCCTTACACTTGTTCTCTGGCGCAAGCTCAATTTTGGGTAATTGAGCAAACATTTAATGCCTGTTATATGAGGCATTGTGGTAGGCTCTGGGAGAAATTTAAAGAACCAAAACAGGACATACATTATTTATTTATGTATTTAATTTCATTTGTTATTATTATTATTTTCCAATTTGACCAGACAGAGACAGAAAGCGAGAAAGCAAGCTGCCCGGTGCAGGACTTGAACCATGGTCAATCGTGTGGTAATCCAGCGCCTTTATCCACCACACCACCTGACAGCCCCAAAACACATTATCTGGTCTTAAAACATGTGCACAAGTAACATGTATCAGAATGTTATGTGTGCTTTAAAAGTAGAGAACCAATTCTTAGCTCAGTAGAGAAAATCATGAGACTCTGAAGGATGCAGTCTTTGAGTTAGAAAGGGAAAACAAGGGCCCCTGGGAAAAAGAAATGGTGTGAACAAAACACGCAAATAAGGAAGTACTGGGCGTGTTCAGTTTGGGAGTAGTGAGAGACAGCTGAAAATCAAGGCAGGCACAGCTATGGAAACCTTGGATCATGCTTGGAAGTTTGGGTCCTGGGACCAGCAGATGGCATAGCAGTTACATCACTGATTCCCACATGGCTGACCATAGTTCAAGTCCTGGACCTGGTGGTTTGAAAATCATGCCAGGTACATATGTGCACACATCCAAGATCCTGGAGGATGAGGGATTGCAGTGTGGCCATCAACCCCTGGGGGAGGGTGATTTCTCACTTTTCTTCTACTCTCTCTGTCTCTCCAGTGAGTACTATTGCCCTAATGCAGAAACCTCTGGAAAAAGTGGGAGGGTAGGACAAAAGAAAAGAACTGGGAATAATAATTTCAGAGACGTGACTAGGAGACAGTTTCAGAGACAACATGACTAGGAGGTGGTAAGTCCATGAAACGAGGTGGGAAAAGGAACTGAAGGACATTTGAAAGGAAAAGATGAAGAAATTAGCTATTAAACACTAAAGTTAGAATTAAAAGCCCTAGGAGGCCAGCCAGAGGGGTATGTTTAAGGCAGCTGGATCCTGGGGCTGGCAAATGGTGTGGTGGTTAAGGTGCTGGACTCCCACATGGCTGATCATTGTTTGAGTCCCAGACCTGGCAGCTTGCTTCCTCACTTTCTGTTTCTCTCTGGTGAGCTCATGTGTCCTATGGCAAATAAAAATAATAACTGATGATAGTAAATAAAACTAAATGATTCTTTACAAAAAAATAAAAAGGCACTTGGATCCCACATGGCTAATGGCACTGTTTGAGTCCCAGGTCTGACAGTTTGAGAAACGCATCAAGCATGTGTGCACATGTGCCCCAAATCCCAAAAGGACAGAGAGTTGGAGAAAGGATCACAGTGAGACCGTCCTCCATGCGAAGGGATGCTCTCTCTCTCTCTCTCTCTCTCTCTCTCTCTCTCTCCTCTTTCTCTTTCTCCTCTCTCCTATAAGCTCACACATCCTTTGGCAAATAGGAAAAAATAAAAAGAATGAAAAGCCCTAGGTTTAAGTTCTAACCACTACTTCCTTTGTTAAATGATCAAGTCGTTCAATTTCTCTAGGCCTCAGTCTCTGCATATATGGCTAGAGTGAGGGGATGAGGAGGGCATACTTAGCTCTCTCCAGACCGTTTTAAGCAGTTATGATCCTATAAGCTGATCTGTTTATATCCTGGTGGCCCATTTTTGCAAATCCAGCACGCACCTTGACATGGGGCTCTAGCAATCAGGAGCCTATTGCGGAAATACAGCAAATCCCACCCTGAACTTGTTAAATCACAAGGATGGTGCAATATGCAGAACTGACATGCAGTATTCTGCAAAGTATTAATGATTTTCCCCGTTTGTTTTCTTTCATGTGCTTTCTTGTTATCTTCCTACTTTTCTCTCGTGTGTGTCCCCATTTCTTCTGACTTAGGCTTGTATAGTTTTTCAGTTTTCCCCCTGATTAGCATTTCTTTCCCCCTTTTCACTCTCCTCTAAATTACTTTTCTCCCCTTTCACTCACTCTCACTCACACTTAGCGTTCTTTACCGCAAGAAAAGCAAAGATTTGTTGAGTCTTAATTCCTTGTGCTATTAAATTGAGTCTGAGAGTCAACTAAAAATGAGTTTGTCATTTTCATTTCTATTCTAGGCAGAAGCAGGATAATAACAGCTCCCACGGTAGTAAAACGAACTCCTGGTACCGTTAAGATAGTCTGATTTCACATCCACCTAACTCCTGGGCAATGCCAGATGAGGGCCGTGATCTCTTATTTACCTCTCAGACCTCTCAGCAGTTTGAGAAAACTGCCTTATCTTCCTTTCCGCCTGAGGTGCTGGGCTAAGTGGCACTTCAGATGCTCTGTTCTCATGAAAAGGCCATGTAGAGGCAGGGACCAGGCTACACTTACCTCTCTGGATCTGAGTCTTTCTCCTGTCTTGGCTTTTAACTTTCTGCCTTTCTAGGCTTTATTCTCCATGACTTTTTTTATTTCTTTACAGCAAGCCCAAGCAATAGATTTATCTACGATCCTATTGTATATTTCCAAAATCTAAAGAAATGAGACAAAGGTTAGAGGTCCGAGAAGAGAGAGGGGAAGAATCACTTACGGAATTCTGGCAGTTTTCTTCCACCCTCTCCCATCTTTCTTTTCCACTTTCCTCTTAAATATTGCAAATCAAATTCCTTGGAGTCCTAAGAGACCAGGTGCAATCCCTGTTTATGAAACCCAGGCTAAAAAGATAAAGGGAGGGAGGTCCCTACAAGGGAACCTGTATGTAAAGTCCAACAATGAGCTCCACTGGAAAAAAACACATTTTTGATAAGGTGGTTAGAATATAATTTGAATTTAAGACCCAAATTAAGTTCTCTCCTCTTCTGTGCCCCCCACCCGCCCCCTCCCACCTTCGGCTTTCCTCTTACTCACTTCCTCTCTTTAACGATCTGTTCCACTTTCCCCCCACTCTTTTTCTTTTTACCCTCTTGTTCTCTCCCTTCATATCAATTCTTCTAATTTCCTCAACTGGGTGCCTCATCAGTCTCCCCCTTTCTCAGAGGAACGGATGTGAGGAAAGAAAGTAAAACAGAAACAGACAAAGTGGATGGAGAAGCATCTAACACAACCTAAAGGTAATTTTTGAAAGTACAGAAGTCTCTTCAGATATAGGTGATAGATATGACGCTTTCTCAAAACGTTGTTAATAAATTGACTTTTTAACACTGAATCTTATTACTTCAGTTGTAGTAACAATACAGGTACAGCAGAATGTTGGGTTTGTTGTGGCTTCTACTCTAGAATTCATCATGGATTCAAAGGTCGCCTTAGCACAGGAAGAAGGGGCTTGTGGGAGGCACCGGAGAATTACAAGCCGCTGCTACAAGTGGGGTGCCTCTTTTCTCATCCCTGCACCTCTCTGCTCCCTCATCAAGCACTCTCCCGCCTGCTTTCTTAGATTAGTCATCGCAGTCCAGACCTCTCTCTTCTGTACTACACGGTTTCTTGCATACACTCGTGGAGCTTGTGCACTGCACAATGTCAGCACATCATTTACACCACCGTTTACACGCAGGCCATACCTGCACACACTGTACATGGCAGCCCTGACCGACTGTGTTCTAAATGTCTTTGAAACATTAGCTTTGCGGTGAGTTACTAATGAATGAAACTTCTGTAAGCCATGGTGATGTCACCCAGGAGCACAGGAAAAGTAGAAGCAACACAAAGAGCCATTGTGTCTTCTGGTGCCTCCTCTAACATAGCTAACAGTGTGTGCGCACATGTGTGCGCATATGTGTGTGTGTGTGTAAAGGCTGAGTTTAGGACCAGCAGATGGCATAATGGTTACGTCACTGGACTCCCGCGTAGTTGACTGTGGTTCAAGTCCCACATCCAATGACTTAAAATTCGTACAGGGTGCATGTGTGTGCATGCCCAAAATCCCAGAGGAGAATAAAGAAGGGGTTGTGGTGTGGCCATCCCCCCTTGGGGGGTGATTTCTTGCTTTCTGTCTCTCTGTCTCTCCAGCGATCCCACATGCCCTACAGAAAAAAATCTCTAAAAAAAAAAAAAAAAAAAAAAAAAAAAAAAAAAAAAAAAAAAAAAAACTTTCTCTTAAAGAAAAAAAAAAAAAAAAAAGGCTGAGTTCACAAAGATGAAGACAAGATCAGTAAACCAGGACTAGCCTTGGCAAGAACTCCTTGCCCATCTCGTCAGGGCTTTGCTGATAGAATCAAGCAAAGGTCCCTGTGCTAAGGTGAACTTTGAATCCTCTGTCTATACTTCTGTCACTCTGCCACCAAAGGCAGCTTAGCACTTGAGTACTTTGTTTATTAACAAGGCCCCACCAAGATGCATACCATGGCTAAGAGGTAATGCACCAGAGGAGAGCCACGTGGCCAAAACACAACAAATGTCCACACACAGTAACCCCCTGGCCTCCACATATATCCCTTATCCTGCACCTGTTCTCTTGTCACTTCTTTCCCCCCTTAAGAAGGTCCTTAACACTCCCCCTAATGTGTTCTATGGTGGTGTTGGGCAGTGGCAGGGAGGCATACAGAGTGACACATGCTGACTCCTACAGCCACCAAGCACTGCCATCTTTCAACAGGGCATAGGATTTAGAGAGGTAGCCCTTAAAGATAACTCAATATTTTACAACAATTTCATCCTTTGATTTATTCTATAACAATAAAATTCCAGTTTAGGGTCACAAAGAGATCTGCATATGCAAAAAAATTGCAAAAGGAAAAAAGACAACATACATACCATATTTCAATTTTACTTTTGAAATATAAAAAGTGGCTCCCAAATACTTAATTATGAACTGTGAGAAGAAGTAGATTTCTTTTTTAATTGTGGGAAAAAATTTGTTATGAATAAAGACATTCTGTTATTACAAATGAAGTAATGTGAAAGTTATTTGGGCCCTTTTTACAAAGAGCGTATTATCGTGTATGTAAATCTCCTGGTCAAATCTGAGTAGTCAGTTCAGCACAGATGAAGCGCTTGCTTGACGCTGTCACTCTCCCGCTCTCTCAGTCTCTGTCTCTCTCTGGTGAATGCATGTGCCCTATAGCAAAACTTTTTAAAAATTGCTTTAAGCTCTAGATTTAAGACAATAAGATTTTATATGTCCAATGGATCTTTATATAAAGAAGAAAAGTTATTTTATAAATGTAATTTTATTTATTTCAATCATTTACTTGTGTTTAGTTTTCAACCTTGTACTTAATGGTAGTAATTTTATAATATTCTATACTTCAGAGTTTGAATTAGATAAATTGACTGTTCCTTTTTTTTTTCCTTTTTTGTCAGATTAATACAAACTACTAAGCTAAAAAAAAAAAAAAAATCCCAAGCACAATTCAGAAAAAGACAACACAAGGAGAAAACAAAGCTGTGTCTTTCATGCGGCAGAAATAAAAGTTACTAATCATTAAGAATTCAAATCAAATTTCTTAAATTTTAATTCACTTAATTGTGGATATCTATTGTGAAGGAAGCTAGAGAACTATGCAAAACTATCAGCTTTTTCGATTCATAAATCCAGTTTTATCTATAGGGCTTCTTTCTGGGGGGGTCACTGGAGGAAAAATTGTTCTTCTCATTGGTTTTTTCTCATTTGGACACTCGTCCAACACTGTGCTGTTGCCAACACTGGACACCGTGAGGTCGATAAAGGTGGAGACCACATTCCTTCCACCTTTGTGTGCTGAGTACCTGCTGCTGAGAGACATATCTGTTGAATCTCAATGAGTGTCATTTTCATTTTCAAATACATTCTGAAAAAAATAAGTAAGTCCATGGGGAGTGGCACTGCTTGGGCCGGTGGCAGGTGGCCGATGGCTGGTGGTGTGGCTGAGGAGAATGGAGTGTGGGTTCAGCCTCTCCAGCACAGATTCCCACATCGATGAGCCCTGCCAGGGAGTCTCACCCACATGGGGTGAAGCGTTGAGCCATCTTGGATCCAGCAATTGGGAAGCAGCAGGCTTAGGCAATGAAGAGAGAAAACAGAAGGTCTTGAGATTTATGGGTGCAGGAAAGAAAGAACATACTGGTTGTCTGGTTATAGGAGATCGCAAGTCAACCCCTCACTTCCAGACAGCAGAAGAAGACAAGAAAATTAATGAAGAATTGGAGTCTCGGTATCAGCAAAGTATGGACAGTAAAATATCAGGAAGTTATTGACAACACTGTGGACTCAGCCTCAGTGAGATAGAAGATCACGATGGAGAAGGCAGTGTGGCTGTAAATGAGGATGATGATGATGATGATGATGATGATGATTCACCCGATCCTGAAAGTTCAGGTGACAATGCAAGTGAGTCAGAGTCAGAGAAAAGAAGAATCTGCTGAAGAACCCAAGCTACTGAACATCCTGATGAAGTGGAAGATCCCCTAAAACAAAAAAGATGCAAAAGGCAATTATAAAATGTTTGTTAAATCATGTGGTCCATAACTCCCGAACACTTGGTCTTTGTATGAAAAGTAAGTATTGTTATAATGCCCAGAGGAGGGCTACTTATAGGGCATAGACCTTTGTATTATAATTTTTAGAAAGGCCCTTTTAAATAATGACAGAGTGTTTGCTTTCAAATGCCATGGGTTACACTTTTATGGGCATGACTATATTCACTTTTGTAAAGAGTAAGAGTTGACAATACTCATCTTCCTTTCATGTTAGGATCATCAACCTTCTAACCACAACTTTGTACCTGTTCATCTGCAACATGAAGGAGACACTTTTGTTTGTGGTAGCTATTTCACCTTTTTTGTTGTTCATAGTTTTCTTTTATAAAAATTTGATACTGTGACGTGTTCATCAAAAATACTTTTTTTTTGAGAGAGAGACTTTCGCTATAGGGCATGTGTGCTCACCAGAGAGACAGAGATACAGAAAGAGAAAAATAACCCCCTGCTGCTGCTCCATTCTCCTCTCGGGATCTTGGGCACGAATGCACATATACCCAGTGTGAGTTTCAAGCTGCCAGGTCTGGGACTTGAAAAGCAGTGGGCCATGTGGGCATCCAATTATGCCACCTGCTGGTCCTACCTGAAAAAATACTTTTAAATTATACTTTTGCTGGGGCCGGCAGGTGGCGTGGTGGTTGAGGGCACTGGACTCTCACATGGCTGACTGTAATTCAAGTCCCAGACCTGGAGTCTTGCTTTTTCACTTTCCCTTTCTCACTCTCTCTCTCTCTCTCTCTCTCTCTCTCTGTCCCTCTCTCGTGAAATTTATATATAAATAAATAAATAAATAACTTAAATAAAATAATTATTTAAAAAATATACTTTGGCTGTAGTAGAACTATTTATCATGGCATTTCTGCTATCAGTCACAATCTAAAGTTGGCAAAAGATTAGGCGCTTAGTTTACTCCTCACTTAGTTTATTCTTCCTGACTCAGCTCCACTCTTCCAGACCAAAGCAACATGAGAGCAAGTACTTTCACGTTCGTTAGCTTAGAGTCACAGCTGCTGTAGATTTGGAGTGTTTTGATCCCAAGCAGTCTATAGGATATAGAGTATGTTGTGTGCTAGATTTTTTTTATAAAATGTGGACAATTTTTACACAAGAAATTATTTTCCTGGTCATTTAGTCACATCTATTTAGTAATATGTAAAACTGGAATTTTTTTTAAGGTAACAGGTGACCAAAGTTTCTTTTCTCCTTAAGGTCTAAATAAAGAGAAAGCAGTTTCCCATATTCGGTTGTGATACTTTAATCCTCATCTAAAAATAAGCAACAGGCTTACTGAACAAGAAGCTGAAACAAATTCTCTGGGTTTTATCCCAGTATTGTTATTTTGATTATCAAATTACTAAAAAAGAAGTATTTCTGATTTGATTGTTGCTTCTATTAGAGCGAAGTTAGAACGATCTCTTATACAGTTGATGTCTACAGTGGACTTACATAAACTGCATATGGGCTAGTCAATGGATCTGAAAAATTGGGTCTGAAACTCTTGTAACTAAATAACAAGTTCAAAGGCTTGAGTCAAAACTGTTAGTGAGCTGATCTATCACATATCTAGACACAGGGATGTGTGTTTAATGTGTTGAATTTCTTTCTTTTTTTATTATTTTTTTTTTTTGGAGAGGTTTTTGCTATAGGGCGCGTGCGCTCACCAGACAGACAGAGAGAGAAAGAGAGATAGAAAGTGAGAAATCACCCCCAGGGGGGATGGTCACGCCGCAATCCCTTCTCCTCCATTCTCCTCTCGGGATCTTGGGCACTCATACACACGCGCCCAGCATGAGTTTAAGCCACCAGGTCCAGGACTCCAACCGTGGTCGACTACGTGGGAGTCCAGCAACATAGCCATTACGTTAACTGCTGGTATTGATGTGTTGAATTTATTTTAAAAAAAAAAAATTAGTCCTGTCACTTGGGAACTTAAAATGTGTCAGAAGGATATAGCAACTAGAACGGGTAATTTCTGGTTTACAGAGTTTGTGTTGAAATATTTCTCACGTATCAGACCACCAAGGTTTTTGTTTCATTTTTTAAAAAAATTCTCACATAGTTTTAAAAGTGCTGCCCTATAGAAAATATTGAGTCTGCCTGGTAAGCAATATTTGTGACATTTAACAAATGACTTCTTTTGAAGACGTTTTGCTTTATTTGACAATTTTAGTTTGACCACTGAGTTTCAAATTTCTATTCTATAGGATTGCTTATTATAACAAATTTAAGTAGAAACTGAAGACCGATTTATGTTTTAGAATGGAAGAGGGAGGGGCCAGCAGTGGTGTCGTGGTTAAGGGCACTGGACTCCCACATGGGTGACCTTGGTTAGAGTCCCAGACCTGGTGGCTTGCTTTCTCACTTTCCCTCTCTCTTTCTCTGTCTCTCTCTGATAAAATTAAATAATAATAATAATTAATAAAGTTAAATAAAATAATTCTAAAAAAATTAATGGAAGAGGGAAAGAAACCAGTATTATCTCTTAAAAAATGAGTATTTTCATCATTTCACTGTTTAATTATGCTGAGTTGTTTGTAAGTCTTGGTTCTGATATGTAAATAGAAGTACTTTCCAAAATAACTATACTGGAAGACTTTTATTCTTCCTCTCTAGATAGATTCTGATTTTAATTGATTTATGTATTATTGGACATTAACAAAATTTAGGGTTGTAATAAATTTAGGTCTATTGGTCAACCCAGTTTCCCAGCACCACTTTAAACATGGCTTTTAAGCCTAAAATAAAACCAGTAAGCCAAGGGGTACTATTATTTTCCCTGTTCTACAGTTGATGAAAGTGAATCTTAGAGGATGAATTACTTGTTCAAGATCACTAATAGTAATAACGGCAATAGTACTTGAACCCAAACAGTTAAGCTAAAAACAAATTGGCAATTCACATTAGAATGCATATATTTAAGCTAGAAATAAGGGTAGTTAGGGTCCTTAAAAGGCTATAGAAATCTGTTCAACTCAAATTTCTCATAAAAAGCACTGGTATTTCGGGAAACAGCATTTAGCGTAATGGCTATGTCGCTGGACTCCCACGTAGTCGACCACGGTTCGCGTCCTGGACCCGGTGGCTTAAAACTCATGCCAGGCGCGTGTGCGTGCGTGCCCAAGATCCTGAGAGGAAAATGGAGAAGGGATTGCGGTGTGACCATCCCCTCTGGGGGGGTGATTTCTTGTTTTCTGTCTCTCTGTCTCTCTCTGTCTGACGAGCGCACGCTCCCTATAGCAAAAGCCTCTCCAAAAAAAAAAAAAAAAAAGCACTGGTATTTCTACTATGAACTGAGGTGCCACAGGGACTCTCCCACCTGGCCCCAGAAAGCCCTCTAGAATGGTGCACTTCAATATGGCAGCACTAGGCGTGTGTAGGTTTTGTGCACTTGGAATGTGGCTAATGTGACTGAGAAACTGGATTTTAGATTTCTCTTAATTTAAATTTAAGTTTAAAACCTGAAGCAGCATAGAATATATTTTTCCATTAAACACCTTTATTGTTCTGTTTGGGCTACATTTTTTACTTAATGGTTGAAAACGTAGCATCCAAATTGAGATATGCTATAAGTATAAAACATACCCTAGATTTTGAAGTTTTTGTTTGGAAAAAAATATAAAATATTTTACTAGTAAGTGTTAGATTGATTATATGTTTACACAATAATATTTTGGATATATTGAACTACATAAACATACTTAGAAATCAGTTTCATCTATTTCTTTTTGCTTTTTAAATGTGGTTATTAAATAATGTCTCACAAAATTACATGTGTGAAAAAAATGTGAGTCATGACATGTTTGTATTGGACAGCACTGCTGTACAGAAAAATCCCTTTGACCCTGAGCCCAGGAGATTCTTACTCCTCTCTTCCCTTCCACAAAGACGGAAAGAATGTGATTCCCCGCCTCCACCACAATCAGGTGTGAAAAAGGAGATTTCCATGAAACCAAGAAGTGGCTACCACTGGGGA